ACACACACACACACACACACACACATAAATAAGTCTTTAAGATATACACGAAGAGGGGTGCCTGAGTGGCTCAGTTGGTTAAGCATCCAACTTTTAATCTCAGCTCAGGTCTTGATCTCAGGGTCATGAGTTCAGGCCCCGCGCTGGGTTCCGTACTGCACATGAAGCCTACTTAAAAAAATACACACACACACACACACACACACACACACACACACACAGTTGCCACACCTGACCTGTTTTATGCCTTGATCAAAAAGAAAAATATAGAATATCAGTGCTCTGGCTCTAGTCCAGAGATTGTAATTTAGTTAGATATTGTCCAAGTTCCATGATGATTCTCTTGTGCAGTCAGGGTTGGGAAGCACTGTCTTAGGCCAATGCCTATGGACAGGGCCGACCCAGCTGCGTGCCTAAGGCTCGAGGGGCAACAGGGGAACCACAGCTCATGTTTGGGCCACATCACCAGGGTCTGGCCACAGTGAGCGCTTGTTCTGAGTCTCCTTTGCACACACACACACACACACACACACACACACACACCCTTTGGAGACTGGAGGTGGTCCGTGGCTGGTCAGGGGTCTTCCCATTGATTTTGTCAGCACGTGGTAGAGCTCAGCAGAGAGGAGCTTGGGTTTTGGGAGACGATCGCCCTTAGTCCTCAGGTTGTGAATGTAGCCACATGTGCCGTGGGCAGAACCTTAAAAGGAAAGCGAGCGTCTGGTGTTGGGGGAGAATCTGGCAAGTGGAATCTGAGACTGGCAGGGGGTGGAGACCCATGGCTGGGGCAGGAGTCTGGACAAGCTGTCTCCAGTCCCTCCCACCAGGAGAGCTCTGCGTTTCTTGTGAGCAGAGCTGCTCCTGCATCGGGACGGTATTTGCTGACCTAGATCTCCTACTGATCCCGAGGGCCAGATCAGGCTTTCCTTAATAACACGTGGGGAGTGTGGGTTCGCAGAGGACGAGGTGTTTACCACCACCGTTCCCCTCCTTCCATTTCTTGGCCAAGGCTGAGAGGCTGGCATGCTGCCAAGCCTTGGTTGTGATCCTGAGCTTGGGGAATTCGGGGGTGGATAAGAACAGCCAGGCTGGGGAAGGGTTAGGTATATCTGGATGAGAAGTCCTGGTTTAGAGCTAATATGGTTCGTATTAATACAGTGCTTCTTTATCAGGAATGGTGTTGATCATAGAAGTTTTTCAAAATATGCACAGCCTGATTCCAGGCTCATTGGTTCTGTTTTTTAGAGTAACCAAGCACTGTATTATTTGGAAGAGTTCTAGGTGGTGAACATCCCTGATTAAATAAGACCCCTGGCTTAGTGCTTTGTTTTAATTTGCTTTTATTTTCAGCGTCTTCAGTATGAGTTATTGTCAGATCTAGTTGGTGGTAATGTCTTCCAATTGTATATTTTTGTACTAGACTGCTGCCTTCTGGGTTTTTTTTTCTTTTTCTTTTTGGAGAACATAAAAGACTTTTATAATTAAAGTAGCTGGGGGCGCCTGGGTGGCGCAGTCGGTTAAGCGTCCGACTTCAGCCAGGTCACGATCTCGCGGTCCGGGAGTTCGAGCCCCGCGTCGGGCTCTGGGCTGATGGCTCGGAGCCTGGAGCCTGTTTCCGATTCTGTGTCTCCCTCTCTCTCTGCCCCTCCCGCGTTCATGCTCTGTCTCTCTCTGTCCCAAAAATAAATAAACATTGAAAAAAAAATTAAAAAAAAATAATTAAAGTAGCTGGAAAAATAAAAACAAAGCAAAGCAAAACAAAATAAACCAAAAAGAAAACAACAACAACAAAAACCTCAGCCAGGTGGTAGATTCATCAATGAACAGACAACAGGAAGGGAGATAAAAGGGTTCGTAATTGTGGTTGTATTGTCTTTCTGGGTGGCAGTGAAGGGGGAAAACTTCATGGAACTGCCGCAAGCCCAGAGCCAAGAAATAAAATGAAAATGAAAAGTTTAGTCACTTGAATACTGTTTCCAGGAAGCGAATCGTTCATTAGCTGTGGACGAAACATAATTGCAGCAGGAATTAAAAAAAAAAAAAAAAACTTCAGGAATTTATGTGCAGACAGAAGATGTTGACGGTGGGTCAGGTGGGTCTTTCTAAACAGCAAGGAAGTGACCTAAAGGAATATTAGTGCAAAGTAGGGATACCCAGTGCATCAGCGGCTGGGGAAGGGTTAGCTTTTAACAAGCAGGATTTAGAAAGTCATAGGGTTCTCTCTGGCCTCCAGACAGGAGCACCAATCTCACCACCAGTAGTTTCAAGACAAAAATGTTTCAAGAGGATTTCCTAGCTATGATGATGTAGAAATAAACGAAGGGAAGGGATCAGACAGGAGCAGTTTCACATAGTGTTAAAAGATAAACTGAGGCATGGTAAACACTCAAAGAGTTTATTTGAGCAAAAATCTACTCTGCTCAGGCAGCCCCCAATTGAAAGTGGTGAGGGGTGCTCCACCAGCAGAAGCTCAGGGAGAGATCTGGATACAGCAGCCAGGGAAGCAGAGTAAGGAATGATTGATTGGCTATAGCCCAACGCCTAGTTGGCTGTTTGCGACTGGTTGTCCTTAGGTTTCAATTTTGTAACCTAGAGGCGTTACAGGCTTGGAGTTGGTTTGCTTAAGTTAGACCACCTTCTCTAGCAGAGGTGATGGCAACAAGTAGGTACAGAAATGGCTCCTGTCCGTGTGCACAGGCCCCAGCTGGGCCAGCAGAGAGTAGATGAGACCCAGGCGCCCAGTCAAGAGAGGTAGACCTCTGATGCATAGCGGGTGGGAGGGCTGGAGCTAGGGGATGGAGCTCCTTGTCTGCACGAGCCTGTGGGGGCCACCACCTGTCCACACGAAGCCCACAGACCATGAGCTAGGTCAGTGTAGACAACCAAGGGAAGAGAGACTCAAAAGACACCACAACCTATCACATAAAGAGCCATCTGTGCTCTCTCTCTCTGCCTTCCACCCTGGTGCCAAAAGACTGTACCCTCGGAATGGGGGAGGGCTGTGTGACAAGGGGACCATGCTCCTCCTCCCCCACCCCCCACCCTGATCCGCTGGCCTTAAAGGTATTTGCTTCCAGGCTGTGCTGGGGTGGGGAGGGAGGTCTGTGGGATCTGACTTGAGCCAGAGGCAAGAACTGGGATGGAAAGTTAGGGAATCCTGGCTGAGGTGGCATGCAGGGAGGCTGCCCCTAGCGGGGATGTGGGGATGTGCCCCTAGTGGGGATGGCAGAATTGCCAGCTAATGCCAAGGCCTCTTCCTTTCCCTGCTCTTGCCCACAGGCGCTATTGTGGCCTCATGTTGTAATTGGGACTCGTGTGGCTCAGAGAGTTCGGGAACTCAGCCAAGGTCATATCTCCTAATGGCAGTGCTGAGACTGGAGCCCGAGGACTGAAGGCCATCACCAGCAGCCACGTGGTGGCAGGCTGGGCTGGGCTGGGGAGGGGAGGGGTCCTCACTGTGCTGGGAAGGCTGGGAGGCCTGATGCAGGGCCATCTGTTGTGAGCTGGGTGGTCCCTAGTTCATGAGAGCCTTCCTCTGCTAGCACTGCGGAGAGTGGGGGAAGAGGTTAGCTCCAGTCCTGCCCAGCACGGGAGAGAGAAAATCGGTTGTGGCTGGTATGATGGCCCAGACTAGCCGAGCAGGTGTGCCAGCCCATGGGCTGGTGGAAGTGTGAGTGTGACCCAGCAACAGAGGGATGGTTCTGGTCTAATGCTCCTGGGCAGAAGCGGCCTTGTGGGAAGAGGAAGGATCCCAAACCAGCCCTGCCCTTTCCCTCTCTTCCTTCAAGCTCTTCCAGGGGAACACTAGATCCTCAGCCGCACCCCCAGCACGAGAACAACTCGGGCCCAGGGAAGGCCAGGCCTCGGGGACAAGGGTGCTCTGTCCGATTAGCCTTGGCGGTGGGCAGTCGGCTCAGACCTGAACTTGTGGACACTGACCTGGCCTGTTCTTGGCTGAAAAGGTTTCCCACTCAGGCATCGCCTCTTGGACTCTGGCCTTCCGAACCCATGCTCAAGGAAAAGCAACTCCAGACTGAGGAATGTGGATCTAGAAAATGGGGATTTGTGGAAGGTTTGCAGTCAGGAGGGTGACCTGTGCCACGTCCAGCCTCTGAAGGTCCGTGACTCCCCACCACCCTGGCTCTCCTTCTGTCCCCAGTCAGGATCCTGCTCTGCGGTGTCCTTCAACTGCCCCCTCCTCCCTCTGCCCCACCTCTTCTAAGGAAGGATTGGAAAAATCCTTAGAGATTTTTCAACCAAGTAAACTGTGCATTTTCAGGACTTAATTCTGGACCCTGTCTTCTCTCGACACTCTGCATAGGTGAGCTCACCTTTGCTCATTTTTTCAGTGCCTCCACATACTAATGCCCCTTAAATTCATGTCCAGTCCAGAACTTTGGTCTCAATTATCCACCGGCCTATTTGATATCTTCATTTGTGTGCCTCACGAACATCCCCAACTCAGGACCCCTTGTTGTAATCTTCCTTCAGTAAATCCTAATGACTTTATCTCCAAAATATACGTCAGATGTATCTACTTCGTCCCCGTCTCTTCAGCTCCCACTCTTGCTTGAGCTGATAGCATCTCTCCCACCGAACTTGTCCTGGCCGTTTCCGGCCATTGCCTTTTAATGTGACCCTCAACTCATTCTCCGTAGAACAACCCAAGTAATCTGGTTAAACTGCAGATTAAATCATTTTAGTCTCATACGTACATCTCTTAATGACTACTTATTGGATGCAGAATGAAATCTAATAATGTGCTATAATTGGCCCCTATCTACCTGTGTTAGCCATTAGTGCTGTTCATCCATGCTTTCCATTTCTTCTCTCCTTCCAGGCACCTGGGATGACTGCATACCCTTGAAGTGAAGATAGGACTATGACACTCGCTTTGGACAATGAAACGTAAGCAAAAGTGACTTGAAAGCCAGTACATGACTGTGTACCTGGCTTTCTTCTCCTGCTACAGTGATGAGGGAACCCAGTATTGATATTGTAGGTGCCATGATGCTGAAGCAGCCTGAACTCTCGGCCATATATGCACGAGAGCTGCCCTGGGAAGTTTGCCCAAATCCACATGGACTTTTCATGAGCGAAAAAAAAAAAAAATTCTGTTGTAAGATTTGAAGGTTTGTTTCCGCAGCAAAACATAGCCTGTCTGACTGATACATTGTAGAAAGAGGGGTTACTTATGGGAATCCTCATTCATTCATTCATTTATAGAAAGCCACAAGCAGGGGAGAGGCAGAGGGAAAGTGGGGGGGGGGGAGAGAGAGACGCTTAAGCAAGTTCCACTCCCAGCATGGAGCCCCACACAGGGCTCAATCTCATAAGCAGTGAGATCATGACCTGAGCCCAAATCAAGAATTGGATGCTTAATTGAATGAGCCACCCAGGAGCCCCTGGGAATCCTCTTTACAACAAAAGTGAAGGACAAAGTTTTTTCAGAAAATGCCCTTAGTTTTCATTAGACTAAAAAAAATTTAACTGTGGCTCTTAAGAATTATTCACAAAAAAATGCAACAAACTCCCAAACTGCAGTGAATTTCTGGGTGATCCAATGAGCAGGCACATATGTATCTTTGACAGATAATGACACAGCTAGTTAACAACTCTGGATGAAGATGGACAAGACAGGATTGCCATTGGGGAAAAAGAGGAAAATACAAATGAAACTTTACAGAGCGTTTATCTGATATGAGGGAAAGGCACCTTCGGTGTGTTTAAATATCATTCCTAAAGTTAAAAATTAACCAAGAAAGACTGACTTTCTTCTCATCACTCAAGTAACACCTGGTTCACTTTTTCTTGAGTTTAAAATACCCCAGGAAGGATCTGAGTTCTTTAAATTCGGCTGAAGAGGAAGGAGTTTGTGGGGAATACATATTTTCCAAGTAGGAGCATTTCTTTGTCTCCTGCTCAGGCTCCAACTACTATATATTTTCAATCACTGGCAGTGTTTAATAAGAACTTAATTAGGAGACAGAGAGTGGGGGGGGGGAGGGAGGATGAGAAGACAGACAAATGGGAAGAAAGGAAGGAAGGGAGAAAGGATAGAAGGAAGGAAGAGAGGAAAAGAAAGGTAAGGAAAGGGAGGGAGGGAGGGAAGAATAGAGGGAGAGAGGCAAGGAAATAAACCAATGGTTGGTCTGGAATGTGCAGTCTCAGTGAGAGGTGAGAGATGGCCTAAACACCCTTAACACACAAAACAGTAGGTTTGTTTGTTTGTTTAACCCACAGTGACCATACTTTGGGAGTCTTAGCTGAAACAGTGTGCTCACTCCCAATGAATGTAGTGACTTCTAAGTGAGCTGGCCTCCAGGCACACTAACCAGAAAAAGGCAATTCTCAGTGCCCATCTTCTCCAGATCATGTGAGAAATCATCAGAAGATACTGAAAACAAGACTGCCCACGCCCGTTGACTCCAGGGCACTGCTAAGGCATTCCATTGGCTAGGGCGCCTGTGTTATGTTTGCAAATTCCCTTTTCTAGGGACAGGGGAGGAGACTTACTGGGCCTCCCCAAAGAATGGGCATCTAGGGCTCCATAGCAAGGTCTTTGTATATAAGCAGAATAAGGCCACATCGCATCGATTAGACAACCCTCTTTCATCCTGGACTGTGTGCAATCTGGTCCAGGCAATCTCTTCTTTTTTGAAGGGCAAGACTGTGTGTCCACCATGAAGTTCAGAATCCTTGCAACTGAGTTAGTCTAGCTCTTGTGCATAGCTAGAGGCCCTAGCTGTGGCTCTGCCTCCCGTGTTCTTTGATGAGGTCATCGATAGTTTCAAAGTTGAGACATTTGGCTGAGTAGAAAGCCTCAGGCTGGGCCATATAAGCCGAGGTTCCTGGCAGCTTGAGAGATCCTGGGAGTTTTCCTCTGGGGAAATGGATAGTGAGCTGGTTTTTCAGACCTGTGTGGGTTCTTTATGGAAGGAGGGCGCTGAATGCTGATATTTAAGCCAGATCCCACTGCCTTTGTTTGGACATTGTCCTCCTGACATTCATGCCGGGCTGTTTCTAGAATGCTGGTCCCTTGCTGAGTCATCTGATTGTTTTCAAACGAGCCCGGGTCTCCTTCCTGAGGGAGCCTTTGCTCAGACCCCACGAGCTTGCCCTTGTGTTTCACTTGAAGACCGGTTTCCTGATGGAAGGTCTGGACCCAGCGGTGCATCTCTAGGTGCTTGTGCCATGGAGATTTGGGGACCTGAAGACAGCCTCTGTCAGCCTCCTCCAGCATCACCTCTGCTTCAGGATCTGCCTCTTCCAGGGACAGGGAACACCTTCTCTCCTTGTTAATCCAAACAGCACTGACCATGGACTCTGCAGGAGCAGACGCGTACCCTCCTGACAAAGCAAGGCACAAGCAGGGTCACCACCAGAATGTACATGGGCAGCTCTCCTTTGAGGGGTCTCAGAGCTTTCAAGCTGAAGGAATATGATCCCAAAACGTCAAGGAAGCCAGGCGGCCGGTACATTGCATACATGGGACACACACATACGTGGGTCCCACATGACCCCACTTACGTATGTTCACACATGTGCATTCCCTCCCATGCCCACACATTCACACCCACACAAGTTCTCTAACACACACTCAGGCACAATTATCCATTCATTCCACAAATATTTATCGCGCACTCGTTATATGCCAGGGACTATTTATCCTAGGTTCTGAGAATACGGCAGTAAACATTGAGACAAAATCCACATCTTCATGGATGGGTTCTAGTGGGGTAGAATATGTTATATGTTCTATACAGATATCATATTATATAATTTAATAATTTATACGGAAAATATAGTCATTCTAGCAAGTGACTATATTCTAATAAAATCGCAGGTGGTAACCAATGCTATGAAGAAAAATCTCAAGCAGAACTGAGTTTAATTACAGACTCCAGGACTTAACTGTGATGAGCTGGGGAACTAGCATGTCAAGCTGACAGAGTGGTAGGTACAGGTTCACACGCACCGGCCAGGGGAAAAGGTTACTCTTACAGGGTTTTCTGTTCCGGGATTCAAATAACATGTGTCCCACCCAAGGTAGAGGATGCTCCTTTTGGACGACTGGCCCTTGCCCTTCTCCCCTCCCACAGACACAGTTCTGAGAACACATCAGCAGCTCCCACTGCTTCCCTGAACTGGCTGCAGGGGTGAGGATCCAGACTGATGTCCCTCTTCTTTCTTGGGGATGTATTTTTACCACCTTGTGGCACGTGATAGTTTATTGTCAACCCTTAGGGGCAGAGAAGGTGGTGGGGATGACTGGAAGGCACGTTCCCAGGACAGCAGGTCTGTGACCAGCCCGGGGTTCCCTCTGAATTGTCCGTGAAGCTCTCTTGAGTATTCGGGCATGTGTCGCAGCACGAGGCCCCGTAAAGGACAAAGTGAGTGTTCGGGCACGTGTTCTGCAGGGGCGGGGAGCTGGTGTCGGAGGTCTCAAGGCAGCAGGAAGCCCTGAGCTCCAGTTCTGGGAATCTAAGAACACAGGACTGGTGTGGCCATCTCTGCCAACAGTGGTGAGACTGGACATCTGTTCCCATTTGAGGACCGCACGGTTTTTCTCAGCACGAAAACCTTCACAAATAGTCAAAATGTTATGTACCTATTTGAGAACAGAGGAGGAGGGGACGTGACGGGAGAAGCCAGGAACTAGTGTCCTCTCCGCTATGTTAAGGTGAACAGGCAGGTCTTGGTGGCGGAGAGGAGCCTCTTTAGCTGTCCATCACAGCCTGTGGTCCACAGAGACCGAGGAAAAGGACTAAAGTGGGAGGTACACCTGGACCCTGACCCCAAAACAGATCCCACAGAGTGGCTGACCTGGCCTGGGAATCAGGAGTCTTTCCTGACAAAGCAGTGCCTGGCCAGCCCATCTGTGGTTAAGCTACCCGGTCCTAAGTGATCACATGATGCTAGGGGAGAAGGGCACTGAGTTAAGGGAAGGGAAGGGCTGGGATTGAGCCTTGTGCCGCAAACTTTCTCCAGGAATAAAATCTGAGTTCCCAGAGGGAAGAGACTTTTCCCCTTGAGGCTTCTGTATCTCCTGCTTCCTTGGCTGCTGTTTGAGACTATGATGAGCAAGCTCCGTGAGCCAGGGTGCCTCCTGAGTCCCTAAGCCCTGTGCTGCCTCTGGCCCTCGCCCGGCCTCCTGGGAATGCCACGTCTGCTCTCTCCAGAGCCAGTTTCTCTGGTTTGCAGGACGTGAGACCCAGCCAGGAAGAGCTACCGTCTCCCCACTGGCCCAGCAGGGGCACCAACCGCTGCCCTCCCCCCACCCGTCCACCAGGCAGAACAGTCCTACAAGGTGAGAACATAAGAGCAGAGGCCGGGTACAGCGGGCAGCCGGCCAGATGCCTGGCTGAGGCCGCTGGGTCAGTTGGCAGGGGAACTGAGCCAAGCAGAGCCGCCCTGAACCGGCCTCCCGGCTCTGGCTCTGCCTCTGCTGGCATCCCTGCTCTTCCCCACCAGGAGGGCTCCCGTAGCCCCCGCCTCCCCTGCCTGCAGCCCCGCCACCCATCAGGCCCACTCCCTCCACGTTTGCCCCAGCACCCGCCCAGCCCTACCTTTCGGGAGCACCACCAGGTGGGCCTGGGCCCTCTGCTGCCGACGCAAGCCTTCGTACTGGGCTCTCAGGAGCTGGATGCTGAGCCGGGGCCCTTTCCCTGGGGCCTGAGTCCCCGAGCCCTCAGCCATGAAGCAAGACCCCAGCCACCACAAATGGGGCAGGGCAGGGCATGGGCAGGGCAACCCCTTCATCCAGATCCGGGAGAAAAGCAAACAGTGGTGGGTGGGGCGTGGGAGGGGAGAGAAGGAGAGGCGGAGGGCGGGTGGAAAGGTAAGGGAGGAGGGGAAGAGGAGAGGGAGGGAAAGGTAAGGGAAATGGGGGACAGTGGAGGGGAAGGCAGGGCCAAGTGGAAGGTGGGGAAGGAGTAAAGCTCAGGCGAGGGGAAAAGCGGGGTGAGAGGGATGTGGGGGAGGGGAAGGCGGGAGAGGGGAAGGTAAGAGGAAAAGGAAGAGTCAGGGGGGAGGGGAAGATTGGGGAGGAAGTCAAAAGGGATCCCCAAGAGGGAAGGAAGGAACAGAGGAGGAAGGTTACGGTAAGACAGGGGGCTAAGGGGAGGAGGGAGGAGCCAGGGAGAGAGAACAAGGCAAGCACAGCTGCTCAGAAGCCTTCTGGGCGCCCAAGGAGGCCTCGTACTCCAGGTCCTTCTCTGCTCAATCCCGATGTTTAGAGTTCAATTCCTGGAGTTCCTGCGAAGTCTCGGGTTTCCTGGCGGGGCTGGAGCTGCTGCAGGGCAAAGCCGGGTGCCTCGTCAGCTCCCACCTCTTGGACTGAAACCTGGAGGCTCATGGGCAAACCTGTCCGTTTGGTTTGCAGCTGGAAAAAAGAATGCCTTCTGCGGACTCACAAAGCTGGTGCCTCGGGGAGGTGCATGCTGCAGCCATGCCCTAGGGAACCCCAGTAGGAAGGGAGCCCCAAGTCTCCACTCACCCACCGCGCACATCCCAGAAGAAAGCCCAACCCCAAAGTCCGCCTTGGGGACAGAGCGCAGGGGAGCCCCAGCTCTCTGACATTCCCACCGGCCTCTTTGGTCTAAGCATTCTCCAACCTAGCAGTGAGCTGGTGTTTATCTTACCCACAGCGAGAGGTACGCCCTCACCCCTGCTTGCCAGCCGCACCCTCTCTATATCCCCTTTGAATCCTAGACTCTCTGCCCCTACATCAGGGGGTCTGTCCTTGCATCCTTTGGTCAAGTAAGTCGCTTTCTATCTGGTCCTAACATGAGGCTTCCGGAGAACCCAATTTCCCAGCACACCTACGGGAGGCAATAGAAAGAAGGTCACAGCTGAACTCTAGGAGTCATTCTGGAGGTGAACTGGATGGGATCCAGGGGGTGTGATATGGAGGGCAAGTCTTCATTGGCAGGGTGTTCATTTTCTAGGGCTGCTGTGACAAAGTGCCACAATTGGTGAGCTTAAACAGCAGAAATGTATCGTCTTATAATTCTGGAGGCCAGAAGTGCCAGCAAGCCTGGATTTTTTTCTGGGGACTATGAGGGAATCAGTTTTAGGCTTCTCACCTGGCTTCGGTGGCTTTGCTGGCAGTCTGTGGTGTTCCTTGGCACGTAAAAGCATCCCTTGACCTCTGCCTTTATATTCACATAGTGATCTCCCGTTGTGCATGTCTCCGTGTCCAAATTTCCCCTTTTTATAAGGACACCAGTCATGTTGGACTAGGGTCCACTCTAATGGTCTCATCTTTTAAAATATTTATTTATTTATTTTGAGAGAGAGCGAGCGAGGGAGAAACCCAAGCAGGCTCTATGCTCACGGAGTTGGGCTCAATCTCACAAACCGTGAGATCATGACCTGAGACGAAACCGAGAGTTGGACGCTTAACCGACTGGGTCACCCAGGTGCTCCCCTCATGGCCTCCTCTTCATTCAACTAGCGATATCTGCAATGACCCCATTTCCAAATAAAGTCACGTTCTTAGGTACTGGGGTTAGAACTTCAACTTATGAATTTGGAGGGACACGATTTAACCCGTATAAGGGAGGTGAATGGTACTTTCAGTCACAGAGATAGGCACAGGAGAGGAGCAGACCGGCAGGTGGGAAAGGAGAAAGAAGGGTTTTGTGTTAGACGTTGTGACAGAGGTGCCTGTGGTCTTTGGATCATCAGGAGGGAGTCCGCATCTTGGTAGAGAGAGGCCAATGTCCTCCTTTGTGAAAATGATACAGTTGGTTATTGGAAAAGCCTAATAGTGCTGCTATGAATATTCATGGATGGTTTTTCCTTGAGGACTCGTCTCCAATACTTTTGGTTACTCTTCGTAGGAGCAGAATTGCTGACTCATATGGTTGTTGCATGTTGTTTTTCTTGCAAAACTTCCTTGGCCAGAAGTGTATTGCACTTTGATGATATTAAACAGTTTTTTGCATTGTATGCCTTGGCTGCTCTGTTGCCATGCCAAGAACTCTGCCCTAGAGCAAGCTGGCCTTTGCAAGTTAGCGTGTTTGTTAGCGTGTTTGGTTTTTTGGAAAGGGGATCACCGTTTATAATTTCTCATCACGTAATGACAAAATAATACCCTGTCTAGAAACAAGATTTTGAGAGGCAAGGACACTTTCTGACCTTCTTTTCCCAACACTATTATGTCCAGTGAATTAAAAGTCCAGGGGCACCGGGATAGCTCCGTCGGTTAAGCGTCCGACTCTGGCTCAGGTCATGATCTCACCCTTCGCGGGTTTGAGCCCCGCATCGGGCTCCCTGCTCTTGGCATGGAGGCTACTTTGGGTCCTTGGTCTCCCTCTTTCTCTGCCCTTCTCCCGCTTGCACTCACTCTTTCTCTCAAAACTAATAAACATTAAAAAATATATGTTAAAAGTTCAGTATGCAAATGTGCAAAAGTTTTCCCAGATTTGATTTGCTGTGGCCCATATCAGAATCCTTACCTGTGCAATTGCAATTGGAACTCTATGGAACAATAATATACAATATCAGTGAGTGAATTGTAGAGGCAGCGTGGTGACGACATACCTGGCTTCTACGGCCAGAATACCTGGGTTTTCATCCTGGCCGTGCCACTTACTAGTTGTCAAATCCTGTTTCTTAATCCCTGCATGCCTTGGTTTCTCCATCTGTAAAATGGGCTAATAATAGTTACAGTTTACCCATCTGTAAAATGGGGCTAATAATAGCATCTTTGTAAGGATATAAAGTCTTAAATTTTTTTTAATGTTTATTTATTTTTGAGAGAGAGACAGAGAGAGACAGAGTGTGAGTGGGGGAGGGGCAGAGAACGAGAGGGAGACACAGAATCTGAAGCAGGCTCCAGGCTCTGAGCTGTCAGCACAGAGCCCAATGCAGGCCTGGAACTCATGAACCGAGAGAGCATGACCTGAGCTGACGTGGGACACTTAACTGACTGAGCCACTCAGGCGCCCCTGGATATAAAGTCTTTAGAACAGTGCCTGGCATGAGGTCAGCACTGTAAGAGTTTGTTGAAGGCAAATTCACAAGTTGGTCCAGATAATTACAGTACCTTTAATCAAAATAGTAAGTTAATATTACAAGTTCTTCTGAAGGAGCTTACTGATTTTAGTTTTGACAATGCCTATCACTCTCTATTAAAGAATGTTTCCCGCCCCTCTGCCCCCAAATAAAGTATATAAAAGCTATTGAAGGACCACTATGGGGTGACTACTTAATAATTCATTTTAAATACCTAAAAAGAGATATTACGACATTTAAAAGCAATTTTACTAATGACAAAGCACAATGTAACTATAAGAATAACAGCCTCGGGGCACCTGGGTGGCTCAGTCCATTAGGCGTCCGACCTCAGTTCAGGTCATGATCTCACAGTCCATGGGTTCGAGCCCCGCGTCAGGCTCTGTGCTAATAGCTCAGAGCCTGGAGCCTGCTTTGGATTCTGTGTCTCCCTCTCTCTCTGCCCCTCCCCTGCTCATGGTCTGTATCTCTCTGTCTCAAAAATAAATAGAAACATTTAAAAAATTTAAAAAAAAAAAAAAAAGAAAGCCTCCACCATTTAGTTATGAAATCATGATTCAATTCATTCAATGTTTATTCATTCAACAGTACTTATTCAGTTACTACAGTGTTCCAGACTCACGAAGCCATATCAAAAAGTAAATTAAACAGACATGATCCTCATGGAACTTCCAGTCCAGTTCTGGGTAAGAATTGTATAATTACAAGTTCTGATGAGCACTAGGTGAAAATACAATACATAATTTAAATGAAATGATGCATATATAGCATTTGGTAGAGTTTCTGGCTGTAATATATGTTACTTATGATTATGTACTGTTCCAATAATTATAATGTATTGACCTGTAAAAAAAAAATCCATCATCTTACCTTGAAGCTTCCTGCCCTCTAGTGGGGACTTTGAGTCATAGTCACAAAACAACTGGGCAAGGTCGAGGGGGGTTTGGTGTTTCAGCTACTATTTAATGAGCTACTATTTAATTCAGCTACTATTTAATGAGCTCTTGCTGGTTGCAAGGTATTAGGCCGTGCAAGACACTTGCCTGCTATAAAACCAAATAAAAATAGTTACTTATAAAATAAATAACACATAAATAGTTACTTATCAAGATACCTAGCTTTGGAGAAACTTTTTTCTGTTCACATGCCTGGCAGGTCTGTTTGCAGAGATGTGTTTATATGGGCACAGGGGGTGGGGGACGTGGAATTTCCCTGCTCTGAGTTCTCTGCCTGATCTCAACACAGGTATGGCCTGGACCCTCTGCACTGCTACCTATCAAGTCTGAACCTGTTAACAAAGATTCGGGGAAGAATAGCGACCGTAATTTCATAGACTTTCTGTCTGGACTTACCCACAACCATCCGGATATAAATGTTGCCCTGTCCTGTTACCCACGCTATGAGCCTCTGCTTAGACTGTGTTGTCCAAGTTCCACGCCTCTGCTCTGCTGTTCGCAGACTACACTGCAGGTCTCTCTATAGCATGTGAATTTATGCACAGATCTAGATGTGTGCACCAAACACCAAGGAAATTCACCAAAAGTCCTACGGTTCTCTGCTTCTGTTTTTACCAAAGATTTCAACTACGTCTATGGCTTTTGGACAATGACTTTCGGATCCCAGCAGGTTTTACTGATGACACCTGGGCTTAATAGAAATCACGTGAACTGGTCAGGTGAATGTTGCTCAATTTGGCCTAACCTCACTATCAGTTTCGACATTTCATTTGACTTTTTGTGATGTTTTATGTATTTCTTTTTTTTTTATTTTTTTTTTATTTTTTTTTCAACGTTTATTTATTTTTGGGACAGAGAGAGACAGAGCATGAACGGGGGAGGGGCAGAGAGAGAGGGAGACACAGAATCGGAAACAGGCTCCAGGCTCTGAGCCATCAGCCCAGAGCCCAATGTGGGGCTCGAACCCACGGACCGTGAGATCGTGACCTGGCTGAAGTCGGACGCTTAACCGACTGTGCCACCCAGGCACCCCTTATGTATTTCATTTTATTTGATTTATTTCTGATATTTATTTTTAATGGGCTATTTTTGTGTTTGGGTATATTTGGAGATGCGCTAAGCCCCAGAGCACAAGAGTTTTCGAGACCCGGAGTCAGGTTAAACATTTGCCGGAAGTTCTCTTTCCATGCATCCTGGGCTGCTCAGTTCTTTCTCCTCAGGGGTTCTGGGTGGAGGCAGGCCTGGGTGCCTCCCCACTTCCTCAATAGTGAATCACTAAAGAATAAGCCTTTTATTAGTCTCTAGCTTCTGTGCCCCCAAATTTAGCCCAGTCCTCCTGGGAGAGTGGACATTCCTTGGATAGTCAAACGAAAATGAAAGCAGCAATGAAAAGATGATTGCAAATATAAACAACGTGGGCCTCTAGGCAATTTGTGAACATGGAGGACAGATAACCAAGCATTTGAAAGTCCTGACTTCTCCATGCCTGCAGTCTGCAGATGCAAAGAGGCACAGAGTCAGAGATGGAGAAAGATTTTGGTCCATCCAGAAACTGCAACTTGTGCTTTGCTTGAAGGCAAAGCATGTACCATCTGAAGACGCTCTCAGATTGCTTATTGACAAGAATTACATGCCCCCAAAGTTGAATTCACTTAGGGACCCACGTAGAGAGTGAATCTAAATTAAAGAAATTTCAAGCCACACATAAACCTATTGAAAGCAGAAAAACCCCTTGAAACAGCTTGATATGTTTGTGACAAAGGTGGCCTTGCAGAGCGGTGGGGAAGGCAGTAAACGGTGCTCGACAAACAGTGTTCAGGCGGATGGATGTCCCTGTGGGAAAAGATTGATCTCGGCCTCTGCCTCACATCATGCACAAAGCATCAGACACAATTCTAACTGAATTGTAGGTCCACAAAAAAAAGGCAGTAGGTCTTCTAGAAGAAATAGTAGAGTAAGTTTTATTTACTTGGGGAAGGCAACGATTACAAGACAGAAAAACCACTAATAATGGGGCATATTGTTGATAAAATGGACTGCATTAAAATGAGGAAATTCTTGTTTCTTACTGAAGGTATTATTAAGAGTAAAAATGAAGGACACGGGGGTGCTTGGGTGGCTCAGTCAGTTAGGCGTCCGACTTGGGCTCAGGTCATGATCTCACAGTCCGTGGGTTCGAGCCCCGCGTCAGGCTCTGTGCTGATAGCTCCAGAGCCTGGAGCCTGCTTCGGATTCTGTGTCTCCCTCTCTTGCCCCTCCCCTGCTTGTGTTCTCTCTCTCATAAATAAATAAACATTAAAACAATTTTAATACAGGGCACAGAGTGGATATAGAAATACCAGTCAATAGACTCGTATCTAGAATATATAAAGAACAACAAGCTACTATGAAAAAGATAGACGCCAATACAGAAGTAGTCAAAAGACAGCTACTTCAAACAAGGCCAAGAAGCATACAGATACTCACACTTGACATCACTGAAGTCAATAGCTGTGCTTTTTATAATAGATATAAAATGAATGAAATATTCACATCAAGTCTCTTGGTTTCTTGTGGTAGTTGACATCTGTCCCTGCCGTAATCAAATTGAACTGAATATAAATTTCTTCTTCGAACATATTATGATTATTTCTTCTATCTACAAATTCTATCTAAAATTTTTCTTCCTGGAGAACGAATAATCATCCCTCATTGTTTTTCAAAAGCATTTATACTAAATTCCACCGTTTTCTGTAGATATTGCCCATGGTTTTCTGTAGTCAGCTAAGCAAAGATTGCCCCAACAGGACACAAAATGCTTAGCATAATGCCGATGTGCTGTTTCTTAAATGGAGTTTGAGCCAGCACTCTATGTCAGCATTGGCTTGTCTGTTCACTGTCATCAATTGTTCACACCTCCCCTCCCCCGGCCCCCACCTCTGGCAGTTGTGTGTATGCTTCTTTTCATGCGCAAGTGACATTTCATACCGCTTTCGTGGAGAATCTAGTTTACAGTCGTAAATAGCAACGTTGGCCAAAGATAATCCCCGACGTTAGTTGTAAGCCACGGAATGGAAGTAGTAACATACTTTTCCTTGAACTGGGAATGTGAAAGCCAGTTTCTACAACTTCTTTCTGTGTTTTAAAATGTAGGTTTTAGGGGCACCTGGGTGGCTCAGTCGGTTAAGCCTCCAGCTTGGGCTCGGGTCATGATCTCACAGTTCACGAGTTCGAGCCCCGTGTCAGGCCCTGTGCTGACAGCTCAGAGCCTGGAGCCTGCTTCACGTTCTGTGTCTCCCTTTCTCTCTGCCCCTCCCTTGCTCATGGTCTGTCTCTCTCTCTCTCTCTCTCTCAAAAATAGTGATTAAAAAAATTTTTTTTAATGTAGGTTTTATTATTGAGATGTGATGAGGCCAACAGATCAGGAGATGTCTGCCATTGGAAAGATAATTGTTACTCAAGGTTCTCAGGAGGAGCCGGCCTACCGTTCCCTGCGGGGGCCACGTGGGGAAGCACAGGGTCAGGCAGGAGGCGGAAAGGATGAGGGGAAAAGGTGGGCAGGTGCCTAATTGTGGTTTCCACAGGAAGGAATGGGGGGAGCAGGGTAAACAGGCTTAGACTTGGCTGGTTCAAACACTTGCAGAGGCCCCAGGGGCACAGGAACTGTCCCTAGCAGCCTAGTACCTGGCATCACGACCTAGTGATGGCAGGCCTTGGGCTTGGATTTTCAGAATCTGAGCTCTGGGCTCAGCTCACCTGGGTAGTGAGGGCCCCTCATTCCAACTTTTAGAAATACACGTCTGTTCGGTTTTCAGCCAGGAGCAGCAAAATGCTGTTCTGGTGGAAGACAGTTGGAGAAATCAGAGGCAAACCTTAGTCTTCCATTCTTGTGACACATGGTGGGAATTCACACTGTGGATTTTTTAAATTTTTAAAAATTTTAATTCCAGTGCGGTTAACATACAGTGTTATATTAGCTTTAGATATACAATATAGTGATCCAATAATTCCATGTATAACCCAGTGCCCATCATGATAAGTGGCCTTCTTTTTTTTTTTTAATTTTTTTTAACTTTTTTTTATTTTATTTTTGAGACAGAGAGAGACAGAGCATGAATGGGGGAGGGGCAGAGAGAGGGAGACACAGAATCGGAAGCAGGCTCCAGGCTCTGAGCCATCAGCCCAGAGCCCGACACGGGGCTCGAACTCACGGACCGCGAGATCGTGACCTGAGCTGAAGTCGGACGCTCAACCGACTGAGCCACCCAGGCGCCCCATAAGTGGCCTTCTTAATCCCCATCGCCTGTTTCTCCCATCCCCCACCTACCTCACCTCTGCTGACCATAAGTTTGCTCTCTATAATTGAGTGTGTTTCTTGGTTTCTGTGTCTCGCTCTTGCCTTTGCTCATTTGTTTTGTTTCTTAAATTCTACATGTGGTATTTGTCTTTCTCTGATTTATTTCGCTTAGCATTATACTCTGTAGTTCCATCCATGTTGTTGCAATGGCAAGATTTCATTCTTTTTTTTATGGCTGAATGATACTTCCAGTGTGTGTGTGTGTGTGTGTGTGTGTGTGCGCGCGCGTGCGCGTGCCACCTCTTTATCCATTCATTTATTGATGGACACACTATGGATTTTTAACATGATTTTTTTTTGTTGTTTTTGGCTCTGAGGTGATGAGAACAGGTGGATTGTGGCTCTGAGTGCCAGAGCCTGATAGAGAGAGGCAGTGAGGTATACAGGCTCTGGGTTGGTTGGTTTGCATATGAAAGTCACATTCACAGGCGAGTCCTTTACTGGAGCTAGGAATTGGTTAGCCCCGGGCCAGGCAGTCCCATTAAGGTCCGTAAGGTCCCAGATGTTGAAACAGAATAAAAAGACATGCTTAATACACTGTGTTTGAAAGACTTGTTGTTAAACGAAATACTATGTTTTCTACCATGTTTATCCAGTGGAAATCATCACCATTAATTTGAGGCACATTTAGTTTTGCTAGAAATGATCTCAAGCTACGAAAAGGGTTCGAGTCACTTTCTAGTACCATTATCCAACAGGGTAACACTCCAGAAGTTGTGTCCTTTTTTATCAATTTGCTGGTTTTGTGGGTATAATTTTAACTTACAAGATACAACCCAGAGTTATATTTTGTTGCTTCTAAATTATGCATTTGACATGAAGAATTCTCTTTTCCATCTCAGTGTTTTAATTAGTAGCTAAAGAATCATTTACCAAATAATATGAAGTTTCAAGGATTAAATCAGACATGAAGTTCAAGATGTGGATTTGAGCAGAAATTTTTCTTATTAATTTTCATGAGTAATTGAATACTCATTAATAAATAACATAGTGCCTTATTTCTGAATTTTACATGAGTTATGCTCAATAAAGTCAGTTAATTTTTATTGCTGCTACTTTTAAAAAATTATAGCAAGCTTTTTTGAAAATTTTCTATTTTTCCCTTTTAATTGTTTTTCTCCTGTTATTATTTCTAGTATGATCTTGACTTATACTCACTTTGGTGACCTAAAGGTTTAAAAAATAATACATAGTTGTTTTCAAATACTCAAATTTTTAACATATTTTAATCTAAACATGTAAATCAAAAGTTGGAAAATAAAAAAACTTAGAACAGTCTCAGGTCTTCAAAAATTACTTTCTCTAAATATTCAAAATTGCCTCAATAATTAAAGGACAAAAATATAAAGGAATTACTCCAAAAACCAACATTTTTAATTTGTGAAAAACTGCGTTAAATACCTTTTTATAAACAATAAAGCCACACTCGAGTATTCAGTGCCCTCCTCCTTGCCAATATAAAGAAATACAATTAGCGTCACATTTTCAGGTTACATCCCCGGCCTGCATGTTTACATACAAATTCAAAAGTAATATGAATTCTGTAATATTGCAAAATGTTCCTGGGTTGCCCAGTGCAACTGTTGCAAACTGCAGTATTTTGTGAGAACCTCAGGAAGGGGGACTTGAAACAGAAAGAAAAGCAATCAGAGGTGTCTCTAGCAGGACCGCTTAATGATACTTTGTATTGCAAGAATCAACCGCTTCCAAGCTGAGAAGAATGGACCGTGGAGAATTGATGTTCTTTTCTCTTACCCATTTCTTCTTCCACTCCCTGCACTCGACAGTTTCACCCGTCTCCCACAACCCCCCAAAATGTCTCTGCTGAACCAGTTACAGATTGCTGAGTCACAAACTCAAAACCGAGGCTTACTACGGGGACAGCAGCGTGTTAATTCTCTGAAGGTGGCCACACAGGCTTTTTCAGCCAGGCTCATTCAAATGCATGCCTGTTGGTGAATGTCCGTGTGCACAGATTTCCTTGGGGCATTTAACACTCCAGAGAAATCTTACAGTGTTTTCATCTATTAACCCCTGTAGGTAATAGAATCCTGTAGATTCTGCCTCCAAATTCTCACTTCCCAGACTTCAGTGTTCTCAGAATCACCTAGAGAGAGCTTATTTAAAATGCAGATTCCTGGGTCCCACCCCAGAAATTCTACTTTATATAGAATCTGCATTTGTTAGAAGTCTCCAGACCACACTCTAAGGGATACTGATCTACAGGTCTACACCAGCACCCCCTCTTTAACTCTGCAGTAACAATTCAGATCACCCACACCTGTTTCTCCCTGCGTAGACTCCTCAATGATACTCCTGATCCAGCACACGTGAATGTAGTGCTTCCTGTTACTAGCTGCACATTACAATCACCTGGAGAACTTTAGAACTATCTCCTGATGCCTGTGCCTCGCTCATAGCAATTAGACCCTCTGGGACTGGGGCCCCCGCTACCAGAATAGTTTAGAGCAAACCCAGTAGATAAAACTGTGCAGCCAGAGTGGAGAATCGTTCTGATCACTCACTGCCTCCCTGGGTCTTTCTTACCCTGCCTTTCGTATTCTAAGTTTCCTTGTTCCTAGAGCAAAGCTTCCCAGCCCGTATCCCAGAGAAGGCAAATCAGTTACAGGTGTGGCACAAAACAGTGACCTGTCCGTAACCAGGCTGCTCCTGGGCCCGCAGGCTCCTACAGCTCTTTGGAGGAGAGCTTGAGCTGAGTTTCGTTTGCTTTTTGCTCCAGGATCCTGTGCTCTCTGCTGCCCACTGTAGATGAGGTCCCCATCGAGATACAGAAGGAGAACACGGCCCGGGTGCCCCGGAGGCCCAACCCCAAGATAATGGCTGGTTGGGGAAGAAGGAGTCATACGAGCCAGGGTGAGTGGAAGGCCAAGCTGCAAACAGCAGCCACCCGCCCCCCCCCCCCCCCATCCCTGTCTTCATGTGTACTTGATTCTTTCACCTGAGTGTCACTGATATGCCCTGTCTGTAGTTAGGGGGTGACCAGTAGTCACATGTCCTACTGTCCAGCAATGCACATGTATTCTGAAAATTGCATTGTCACTTTGAAAGATTTGATTTAAAAAACATGAGGGGCGCCTGAGTGGCTCAGTTGGTTAAGCATCCGACTCTTGATTTCAGCCGAGGTCATGACCCAAGTGTTGTAGGGTCAAGCCCTACAACCGTTAGGCTCTGTGCTGAGTGTGGAGCCTGCTTAAGATTCTCTCCCTCTCCCCCTCTCCCCCTCCCCCCCTCTCCCCCACCCATGCATGCTCTCTCTTTAAAATAACAAACATGAAACTGGGTTTAAAATCTATCAGCATTATCATTGTAAGTGTTAAAACTGTACCCGGCCATGAAAGAAAAGGAGGAACTGTTGTCTCTTGTAAGCATCATTTCAGTTGCTGGTTGGTAAGTTGTTTAAAATTTTTTTTAATGTTTATTTATTTTTGACAGAGAGAGAGAGAGAGACAGAGACAGAGCATGAGCAGGGGAGGGACAGAGAGAGAGGGAGACACAGAATCTGAAGCAGGCTCCAGGCTCCGAGCTGTCAGCACAGAGCCTGACTTGGGGCTCGAACTCACATGCCATGAGATCATGACCTGAGCTAAAGCTGGACGCTGAACCGACTGAGCCACCCAGGCGCCCCTGGTTGGTAAGTTGTTTAAAGTTTTTATCACCTACTCATGTGATCAAGGTTTGCTGTTTTGTTTTTTTTTTTTAACTGATGGTTACTAGCTATAATAGGAGAAAACTTATAAAAGCTTGACTAGGAATTGTATGTAGCATACACACCCTGTCAAAACAAAAATGTTCCCAAGTGTTTAAAAGCCGTCATTTGCCTGACTTTGAGGTTTCAACAATATCAAAATTATGAACTTCTGTTTACTCAAACACTGCGCAAAGGTAGCTTTGTGGTCCATTCGCTGAATAATATAGAAAGATTTTCTGGAAAATGTTTCTTGAGAGAGCCTGCTCCTTTGAAGTGAAACTAAGGGCCACTAAGCCTGATCCACGTAGATGGCTGTTGCATAGCCGATGATCATTCCAGAAGCATCCCGTTTCTGAGTGCGAGGCAAAGACTGGCAGTGGCTTCCGGGCACAGTGAGCTCAGTAGTGTTGTGTTTGGCCCCGGAGGTCAGGAATGATGGTGGTCATGGGAGAAAGAGGTATGAGGGATGTGGGACATTCTCAATTCTGGAAATGAGATAAAAAAAAACCAAAACGTTAAATGATATGCTATTTAAAAATCCAAAAAGTGGGTGAAAAGGTGAGTCACAGGCTAAAAAATATTTGCGACATAAAATCAATAAAAGGCTAGCGTCCAGAATGAACAAAGTATGTTGAAAAATCAATAAGGATTAACCATCAATAGAAAAATAGAGGAAAAGACTTGAACAGGTGCTTCATGAGAGAAGATCTGAGTAGCCAGTAAGCATGGTGAAAATGCTTCATTAATCACAGAAATGCACAATAATGTCAAAATGATTACACATCCACTAAATTGGATTTAATTTGAATTTAAAGGTCTTGGGAATACTACGGTGATGACTACGTGAAGTTAAGGACCCGGTAAAATTGGCCTCTGATAAGCTTAAGCAAATTCAAACTTGACTCCATGTGTGATCCAGGGATCAGCAGCCCTGGCCCAGAGAGCTTGCCCAGTTGCAAGCAACCACCCAGTTGCAGACCTCCCAAATCAGAACTGGCATCTTAGCAAGATCTGCAGGTGATTTCATGTACGCTTTCATGTTTAAGATGCCTTGCTCTATAAATCACTGAGTCACAAACTCAAAACCGAGGCCCTAAAGAGGCTTGTTCATGACAGCATAGTCTGTAAACAAAGACTGAGGCTAATCCTAGTCCATTAACAGTGGAATGGACAAAGAAAGTACAGTGTAGCCTTATGATGATTATATAGTCAGAACAAATGAATTCCAACTATGTATATTAACATGAATGACATTCACACACATGAAGGTAAGCATAAGAAGCAGATTGCAGAACAGTGAATGATTCCACTTATCTTTGCACATGTGCTTTGTACATTCTCTGTATTTCACAATTAAATCTTTTTGGATATTAAAGTTTATTTATTTTGAAGGGTACCTGGGTGGCTCAGTAGGCTCAGGTCATGATCTCACAGTTTGTGGGTTCGGGCCCCGCATCGGGCTCTGTGCTGGCAGCTCAGAGCCTGGAGCCTGCTTCAGATTCTGTGTCTCCCTCTCTCTCCCTGTCCCTCCCCCACTTATGCTCTGTCTCTCTCCGTCATTCAAAAATAAACAAACATTAAAAAAATTAACATTTATTTACTTTGAGAGAGGGGATGGGAGGGTCAGAGAGAGAGGGAGTGCAGAGTCCAACACAGGGCTCGAACCCACAAACTGTGAGATCATGACCTGATCCTAAATCAAGAGTCAGATGCTCAACCAACTGAACCAGCCAGGTGCCCCACAATTAAATCTTTTACGTAAAGTTATGTTCATGGAAACAAGCTTGAAGTTTTGCTTTAAAAAATTAGAAAGCATGTTTTTGGGGGGAAGCTGTATAGAAATTCTGTATTACCCTTCCTAACTGCTTTTGTATAACATGACTTAAAATAAGCACTTCGCTAAGGCACATATAGATGTCCCCAGATCCTGTCTACTTTAACCCAGTAAGCTGCTCAAATATTTTCTCTGTGTACCTCGACCTAACATAGAGTGTTGTGAAGCAAGGACCTGGAGACCATGTCGTCGCAAAGGCTGTCAAGGTCCCCAGCCTTCCTGTGGAGCTTTATCTCTCCCAGTTGCTCTGCTCCAAATTCTAGCTATTAGATCCTTGCCTTTCCCAAGGACACTGTCATGCCAACTAAGACCATGCTGCTTCTAGAATGCCCTGGATGATGTTCTTTCTTTCCTCTAGGCTTTGATAAAACATCACCGCTATAAGAACTTCTGATTTCCTAGACAGAATAATTATTCTCTTTCACAGCCCTTAGTGGCCCATTCAAGTCATATGTTTAGTTGTTTTGACCTGTTTTTCCTCTGCTAGGTTATGAACAACTCTAGAGCTGTGTGCTATATTATATATTATAGTATATGCATATAACAGAATATTTGCCTTTTCATGACCTCATTCTATATCCTGTGGCTTTGTAAATCCTGTATTTATCTTTTTTATGACATGAATTTGGTAACAAGTGAAAAGTGCTCACCATTGTTATTCCTAGATTCATTAATAATCCACTCTGGGAACAACAGAATCTTATATGACATTATACTCTTACCGAAACATTGATAAAATAGTTTCTAGTCTAATATTAAAGAGGTTAGCTTTACATATAGGTTGGTTAACTCTAACACATAATACATAGCTAACAATATATTCTTCAAGCTGTGAAGCATCTGTATACTGGGTCTGTAACAAAGCAACCAAGCTTAGCTTAAAGTTATGTTTGACAGTGGGCAAGAAAAGTCTATAGAGCTGTATGAATGGGAAGAAGAAACACCATGATGTTAATGTCTATCTCCTAAAATTCTTCTGAAGTGTGGGGGAGGAAACGATGATCTCCTGTAACAATTTGGACCTTTGTCCATCTCATTCTAAGATGATGAGAATGAATTTGTCATGCCTCAAACCCCTGTTGACATAATCACTGCCAAAAGTCCAAGCTCCAACCAGTCTCCCATTTTTCCCTGGCCATATTGCCAACCCCTAAACTTTGGCTGCACATCTGATAATCTGGTATCTGGGCAACACCTAAGTCTGGTTAAATCCTGGATTGGGGATGGAACTCTAGCATTACTTTTTTTTTAGAGCTCTTTTTTTAGTCTTGCTATTTTTAAACTGAAATCTAGTTGACACACAATGTTACGTTAGTTTCAGGTATACAACATGGTGATGTAACAAGTCCATATGTTATGCTCTGCTCACCACAAATGTAGCTGCCATCTGTCACCAGGCAATGCTATTATAACACGTTGACAGTATCCCCTATGCTGTACCTTTAATCCCCATGACTTATTTATCCCATAATGGAAGACTGTACCTTACTTTCAACCCTTTTGTGCATCCCTTCACCACCCTCCTCTCTAGTAACCATCAGTTCTCTGTATTTATGCGTCTGTTTCTGCTTTGTTTGCTCATTTTTTTTCCCCGAGTCCACACATAAGTGAAATCCTGTAGCATTTGTCTGACTTATTTCACTTAGCATAATACCTTCCAGGTTCATGTCGAGACCTCATTCTTTTTTTTTTATGGCTGAGTAATAATCCATTGTATACACCACATCTTGATTCATCTATTGATGGACACTGGGTTGCTTCCATATCTTGGCTATTGTAAACAATGTTACAATAGACATAGGGTGCATGTATCTTTTCAAATTAATGTCTTTTGTTTTTTGTTTTTGTTTTTATTTTTGGTAAATACCCCATGGTGCAACTACTGGATCATAAGGTCTTTCTTTCTTTCTTTCTTTCTTTCTTTCTTTCTTTCTTTCTTTCTTTCTCTCTTTCTCTCTTTCTCTCTTTCTCTCTTTCTCTCTTTCTTTCTTTCTCTCTCTTTCTTTCTTTCTTTCTTTCTTTCTTTCTTTCTTTGAGTGGGGCATTTCTGATTTTTTGAGGAACCGCCCTACTGTTTTCCACAGTGGCTGCACCAATTTACGTTCCACCAAACGTGCATGAGGGTCCCTTTTCTCTACATCCTCACCAACGTTTGTCTTTCTTGTCTTCTTGATACTAGCCATTCTGAGAGGTGTAAGATGATGCTATGGTTTTGATTTGAATTTCCCAGATGATTAATGATACTGTATACCTTGGCCATCTGTATGTCTTTGGGGGAAAATGCCTATTCACATGATCTGCTTATTTAATCAGATTATTTTGTTTTTTTTGTTTTTTTGTTTTTTTTTTGGTGTTAGGTAAATTCTTTATATATTTTGGATATCATTCCCGTTTTGAATATATCATTTACAAATATCTACTCCCATTCAGTATGTTGCCTTTTCATTTTGTTGATGATTTCCTTTGATGTGCAAAAGCGTTTTAGTTTGATGTAGTTCTAATAGTTTATTTTCATTTTTGTTTCCCTTGCCTGAGGAGACCCATCTAGAAAAACGGTGGGGAGCCTGGGTGGCTCAGTCAGTTGAGTGTCCACCTTTGGCTCAGGTCGTGATCTCACGATCTATGAATTTGAGCCCTGTGTGAGGCTCTGTGCTGACAGCTCAGAGCCTGGGGCCTGCTTCGGATTCTGTGTCTCCCTCTCTCTCTGCCCCTACCCCACTTGTGCTCTGTCTCTCTGTGTCTCTCAAAAATAAATAAATGTACTACACTTGATCTTAGCCAAAAGGCCGAGAAGCGATAAAAAATAAATAAACGTAAAAAAATTTTTTTAAATATTTATTTTTGAGAGGGCACAAGTGGGGGAGGGGCAAACAGAGGGGGACAGAGGATCTGACGTGAGCTCCATGCTGACAGCAGGGAGCCTGATGCGGGGATTGAGCTCACAAACTGCAAGATCATGACCT